CGTTCCGTTCCGTCGTACGTTTTCGTTAACTTAACCCTTACCTTTTCGTTTCTACTTCTTCTCTTCTTCTTCCGTTCTTTCTTACTACTGTTACTCTCTCTCTCTCTCTCTCTCTCTCTCTCTCTCCCTCCCTCCCTCCCTCCCTCCCTCCCTCCCTCCCTCTATGATTCCTTTCTTTCTCTTTCTCTTCCTCAATGTTCGAAAATTCAGCCGCCCGATCGCCTAGGCGAAAAATTTTAAAAAACGCCTAGGCGTAGTCTAGGTGGGGTGATTCCTTTCTTTCTCTTTCTCTTCCTCAATGTTCGAAAATTCGGCCACCTAACCGCCTAGGCGAAAAAATTTTAAAAATGCCTAAGCGCAGTCTGGGTGGGGGCATTATGTGTTTTGCTTCTGGGTACCCGCCTAGGTGGTCAAGGCGCAGCCTAAGCGCTATTGTCTGGGCGCCGCCCCGTGACAACTTGCAGGTGGGCGGAAAAAAAACCCTCGGTGAACGTAAAAAATGTAATGTTTTCCCGTAAAAAGGGGCTAAAAGGGTTTTAGGGGGTATTCTAAACCCCCAATTGAAAATCCGTGGCCTTTAGGATGAGAAAACCCCCTCAAAAACCACTCTTTTGTGATTTATCAAAAGATCGATAATTTTTTTATTTTTTTGATTTCTTCCCAAAATGAAGGCAATAGTTCGTGGGTGGATTTGGAGCTTCTAGTCGTTGATTTTGGGAACTTTTGGCGACCCAATAGACGAGGTTTGCACCGACATCTATTTGATTTGATATTTTTAAAGTATTATCATATTTGAAAGGGGGTTTTAATTTTATTTTGCTACAACATATTATGTTATGAATCATATGTTTTTTCTTTTACTTTTTTTTTTTACGATATATTTACGTGTTTGTATTTAAAAGATTGATTTTTTTTGGTGATTTATTGATTTTTTTCTCACTTGAACGATGAATTGAGCATATATCGTATTCTTTTATGCATAATTGATTCCTTTTTTGTAAAATGTGTCTTATTTTGATTTTCTATTTTTTTTTGTTTTAGTTTATTTGATAAATAATTGATTATGTGATATCTTAATGGGTTAAGTCTTATGTGAAAGTGAAACTAAAGTTTTAAAATGTCTTATATATTCAGTTCTTCATTTAAGAGCTCCCTTGTTTTGTATGTTTGGGGTGGGGGGTGGGGGGGTGGGGTGTTTGATTTTGGTGAGGCACCCTGTCCTTGGGCGCCCGCCTAGGCTCTCGAATCTGTTTTTTTGAACATTGCTCTTCTGCCTAGGCTCCCGAATCCGTTTTTTTGAACATTGCTCTTCCTCTTAACCAAAGTAGAGCCCCCTTCTTGTGAGTTGCCTACATCATCCCACATAGATATGTAAATATAATACTCTAGTGCTAGGGTTTTGCACACCGGGCCTTTGGAGGTCTTGTCGGCTTTTTGGCTTCTTCTTTGAGGAGACATGTACCTAAGCACCTGCCTTATGGGATGCCTGAAACCTCACTCCTCGTGAGATTTTGCAACGACATATACTATAAGTAATAAAACTACATATTAAATAATAAACACAATTATCCTTTCTCAAAAAAGGGAAAAAAAAGAAAGGAAAAAAATCCAATCTCGAAGGTTGAAGTTTGGTGCCATATCTAGATTGTGAGTGCCCTCTCTTTGGCGAATTTAGTATGAAATCATTCGGAATGCTGACTTATTCTACCGATTTGTCTCGAAGATTGCCGATCTCTTCTCGAATGTCGTGAGATTTTGCAACGACATACTATAAGTAATAAAACTACATATTATAAATAATAAACACAGTTATCCTTTCTCAAAAAGGGGAAAACAAAAGAAAGAAAAAAGTCCAATCTTGAAGGTTAAAGTTTGGTGCCATATCTAGATTGCAAGTGCCCTCTCTTCGGTGAACTTAGTATGAAATCATTCGGAATGCTGACTTATTTTGCCGATTCGTTCTTGAAGATTGCCAATCTCTTCTCGAACGTCACTAATTTGTGCTCAAACTCTTCTCTCAAACTTTCCATGCTTGGTTGGTTTAAATTCTCATTGATTTTTTGCATTATATCCTGGATTGCAGTAGAGGACTTGCGCTACATTGTGATCTAGGGATCTTTTGAAGCGCTCATACCACTTAATGCTGGAAAGAGGGATACAGAACATAAAACAAACTAGAAAAATAAGAAAGGACTCAAGAGATTACCCCGTCCTCCCCCTTTCCTTCTCTCTCTAATAGGTCGGCCCTGGCTTTGGCTGCATTTTGGAGCAATTTATTTACTCTTTTTTTTGACAGTTTATTTTAAGCGTCTATTTTTACAAGGTTACTTTAGGCAAGAGAGGTTAGCTGATGAAAATGGCAATTGTCGCTGTCAATTATTGTTTCAAAAGTGATTGAGCATCTTCTTTCTCGTCTCTCTTAATTTATGAGCTTTGGATGGCATTTAAACAAATCAATTCTTTGGATTAGAAGTATGTAACTTTTCTGATGTGCACATTTATTTATCCTCCTCATGTTAATAAGTGACCAAAGATCACTTTAACGAATTTCAGAAAGGGATCTCTTTGCTTTAGTGCTATACTTCTACTGTGAAGGTGGACTAGATTACTATTCAGGTTAAGATTATTTTCTCCCTTTGACCATGCCTGCTCCAACCCTTTTCTTCACTTAATGCACTGCAGCTCCCCCTTAATTACTCCCCCCCTCATTATTCCCAATGACCAAGCCGGCTCCAACCCCTTCCTCCACTAAATCCACAGCAGAAGCACTTCACATTCTCCCTCTCTCATCCTTTCTCTTTTCATCCTCCACCCATCAGCACACAACTCCAAGAAATGGTTATAGACAATCTAGGGAGGGGCATTACTCTATGGATAGTTGGTGTCTCCTGGACGTGGTCACCGATTACAATGGCACCTTCTCATACAACCTCCTTTGGGAATCTCACTTTCATACCAATCCTCGATTCGTCCATATTAACCTCTCTGTTGCATCTATGGTTCTCCATGTTCACTACTGCAGGGGACACTGTACTCTATGCTGCTGGGTGCTCTCATGAGCTCTTTCACCAGAAAACAGAGCCACGTGTTTCTCTACCAACATGCAGCGGCCCGATGCTCTCACGAGTTCTTTAATCAGTTTACTGAGGTTCCAACCTCACTATCGTCAGTTCGATGAGGTCATCCTCTCATCCCGACCAGCTACCAATATTGGAGGCCCTTGTCTCTCGCCTCAATGCCCTTTGTTTCACGATAGGAGTTCTCTTTTTTTATGCATATGTAGGGCTGCCCATTTTTTCTTCTTTAGGTTTTTCTCTTTTTTCTTATTCTCTTCTTCTCTCTCCTTATCTCAAGCTCTTGTTGTCTGAGCACCCAATCTGTGGGATTGCCTTCTTTAGGTTTAGTAAGAAATGTAATTGTAACTATTTTATTGCAGTTAACCTTTTTCTCAAAAAACAAATAGACATTCTCCTGTATTCCAAGAGGATATTTAATTTTTTATATGATAGGTGAGTATTCATAAATATTTTTTTTTTTTGATAAACTGTTGCAATTAATCTCTTGTTTGCCGCAGTTGCCTGATTCTGATGACAATGCTTTGCATCTTAATTTAAAACTTTTTATGGTCCCATTTTAATTCAGTGCTCCTCATGGTATTGTCATTATTGTGGTCCACTAAGACTGTTGCAGCATTTCTATGACCTGTTATGCATTGTTATGCAGAATTTATTGGATTCCTAGCTTACTTTGATCGTGTTACTTTCAGCTTTTTGATGGCCACAATGGGTCTGCTGCTGCCATATATACAAAAGAAAATCTCCTAAACAATGTGCTAAGTGCTGTTCCTTCAGACCTTAGCAGAGATGAGTGGCTAGCAGCTCTGCCACGGGCTTTGGTTGCAGGGTTTGTGAAAACAGACAAAGATTTTCAAGAGAAAGGTACGTACAGGCACAGAGGACACACCAATGATGATATTTTGTGCTTGTATGATGTTTATGATAATTTTGAAATATCATGCTTAATGATTTGATTTAGTTGGATTACTCATAATGTTTAATGGCAATAACTCATTCTTATGTGCATTTCTTTGACTTCTTTCTCATGATTATAGCAATTCTGATTGCTTTATACAGCATATCCACGTTATATAACTTAGCACCCGTTGACTTAAAATTTCAAATCTATTTCACAAGAAAATTCAGTGGAACGCAAAACTACTTGGGTTTTATATGATGCAATATGCTGAAAGAATGGTGGTTCGTTCCTGGATTGCGCAGATGGTCTCAATCACACATCTCCTATTTCAGTTTTGCCTGTGAGAGATAGGGAGTGCTGGCTTGGTTTCAACATATGATTTTTTTTTAAAAGATTGGGTTGCACATTTGTTGGGAGGAACATTCATATCTCTTGCTTCAATGAAATTCAACTAGGCAAGGGTTGTACATGGAAACACCTGTATTGTGCTGTGTTATTTCTATATGGGGTTAGTATTCTGCATTAGGGCTTTAAATGCACTATACTTTGGATTCTGGGGTTGCAGCAGTTATTCCTTTCGATGGACTGATTTGCTGGATGGTGTATCATGAATGCTTATTTAAATCGAGTGTGGCATTTAATGGTGCCCCAGGGCATATACATTTGCTTATTCCTTTTAGTATTGAATGTGTTGCTACTCTGTATTCCTTGATAGTTCCTTTGTGATATTTCTCTTTCTATGTCTTCGCTGCAGTTGATGCCAAAAATCTCCCTTAAATTATATATGTTATTTATTAATCTTGATAGATTATGTATGCTATTAGTCTACCACTTCTTTTTTAATAGATTCTATATGTGATTTATGCATCAACTACCTATTTCTTTCAGCACAATCTTCGGGGACAACTGTTACTTTTGTGATAATTGATGGGTGGGTAGTAACTGTCGCATCAGTAGGTGATTCTCGGTGCTTCCTTGAATCAGCTGAAGGTTCAATATATTCTTTATCTGCAGATCATAGACTGGAGGCTAATGCAGAGGAGTAAGTTTTGATTTGCTTTCATGTTATTTCATGCTTGGATCAGTTTTAAATTTGGTGTCTGAGGATTTTATGATTCATATTTGTAGGAGGGAACGAATAACAGCTAGTGGAGGTGAGGTTGGTAGAATGAACATTGTTGGTGGCGCAGAGGTATGTTTCTGATGTTCATGTATTCTATGATTCATATGATGGACTTAGAAAGTTTTTGTCTTGTTCTTCTGTGAGATGATCTCATAACTAGGAGAAAAATGACAGTTCTCTTAACACTTTTGGGAAAGACGATATACGTACACATGTATATATCGTATAGACAATTTAAGGCAGTGAGAGAGAAAATAGTGTTGGTTGTCACCAATGTTTACAAAATCGGTGACCCAATCCACAATCGGGCGATCCGGATCAGGAATCAGCTGAACTGTTATGGATTAGGCTGAAATACAGGATCTGGCGATTTTACTATGCAAAATCGACAGGATGATGTCAGCATTCAGCGATTCTGCATAGTAAATTGTGAGGATGACATCATGAATCGCATATGACATCATAGAACCAGTTTACAGCATCATATATTTTTTTAATTACTTTTGAAACACTTTTTTTTAATACACATTTTTTTTTTATTTTTTTAATACACATTTTTTTGGTGTGTGCACCAAAACGTCTAGTCAATGGCGGGCGCCACAAGCAACACACAACCCAATGCACACCAAGTGGGCTTCACATTTGACCTGAACAACCACATCTTTGGACTTTATAGAATGCCACACTTATTAAAACCAGCGATGTGGGACTTTATTAAACCAGACGTTGTGGGACTTTATTAAATCAGTGCTTCACGTTTTTTTAAACCACATCTTTGGATTTTATTAAAACCACATCTTTGGATGCTCATTAAACACGCTCGTTAAACTTGATTTTGAAGATCGTTACTTGCTATGGTATGGATGCTCATTAAACACGCTCTTAAATTGGCTTCCCGCTCAAAATTTAATTAGGCCCTTTATTGGGGGTTTTATTTTTGTTTTTAATTATATAATGTGGAAGCATTTTCTAATAATTTTTAAATTTTTTATAACATTATAATTAATAATTATACATAGATTACAAAATCTTGTATTTTATTTATTTGATTTATTGACATTATAATTTATGTAATGTATTATTTTTTCTTATAGTTGTAAATAATATTTTTTAAATTAGATGATAATATAGGACATTTTAAATTTGTTCTTATTTATAGAGTAAAGTAATTATAAAATATACAAACATCCAGACATAAAACTGTATCTGTATTCACCTATTTTTACAAAGTAATGAAAGTACATAATGTATCACTCCTAATTACATTTAGAAACTAAAGGAACACTATTTTTAAAGATTTATAGTGATTTTTTGAAAAAAGTTTGGGTCAAAAATTGCGGATTCAGCCTATTCTTCGATCTGATCCACCGATTCTCCGATCCAACACGGGTATGGGTGTGACCGATTTGAGTCACCAATCCGATTTTTAAAACCTTGGTTGTCTCAATGCTTTTCCTTAGTCATATGACATTGACTAAGTCTCATTGAATCTCATTGTGCTTCTGCCTACCAAAATTATCACCGTCGACCACATTCATGATGCACGCTAAAACTCCATAAATTCAGACAAGGTGATGAAGTTTGTTGTTCTTCTTTTGTTGTAGACACTTTTATAACATGAATTATTGGAGAAGATAGTCCTTTCTTATGCTATGATAAGCTATGCAGTTCTAACCTTATGGAGTTAGCTTGGTTTCTTGAACTACTCTTTTATATAAATCTAAGACTTTACAGATCCTCTTCTGATAAATTAAGGGGAAAAAGTAAAAATAAAAAAAACATTTTTTCTTTTTCTTTTTTTATGAACTTAAATTGGTGGAATTTTTGAGATGAGGAAGATTATAAAAACCTCTTTTTCACTTCTTTGCCAAAGGGTTTCAAGTAATATTCCTGGGTCACTAAGGTGATGGATCCATTGGAAACCTAATCTGGATAAGGTAGGATAACTAAAATCGCTTATCTATGGCTGATATAGTTTGGAATATTCACAAAAATGATCAGGATCAGGAAGGATAACTAAAAATAGCCTTTCTATGACTGATATAGCTTGGAATAGCTGGTGTTGTAAAAAAATGTTCTCTTCTTTGTAGATAAAGGAGGATGCTGGAGCTAAGATTTCTAAAACTAAAGTCATTGATGTTATTCATAGTCGCGGTAGCGATTGGTGGTTAAGTTTGTCGCTTGGGATTGGTGCTTAATTGTCTTCGCATTTGACAGGGTTTTTCTTTTGCTGCTTGCTTTCCTAGCAATTTTTCTCATTGATATATTGTATCTCCAACACCTATTCATAAACTTAATTAACGAGATGATATTATCAAATGCGAGGAGCCAATTGACTTTTCCATTCTGTCACAAAACTTTGCAGTGACCTTTTGATGTTCATCTCTTGACTTTGTGTATGGTTTTGCAGATTGGCCCTTTGAGATGTTGGCCAGGGGGCTTGTGTCTGTCAAGATCTATTGGTGATATGGACATTGGGGAGTTTATTGTTCCTGTACCTTACGTGAAGCAAGTGAAGGTTTGTCTATTTAACTGTCAAGATTGCAAATGCCAATGAACTGGGTATTACCCATCCATATCGTTCTTGTTGTTCGGAAAGTTAACAATTTCTTCCTGTTTATCCATTGCATATTAAGTTGCTAGGCATTGTATTATATACATAGTTTTCTGTTGCGGTGTTTCGTCACGCCTTTCCATGATTGTTTTTACCAGATCTCCAGCTTTTGATATGCAATTGAACTAAGACCTCTCTCTCTCTCTCTCTCTCTCTCTCTCTCC